CGGTGTTACTTTAACATACCTTTTATTAACCGTTAATCCTGGCCTTTTTCCCATATAGTTACGTGTAAATTTGTGAAGTTAAAAAATTATTATTAAAAGCATTAGCCAAGAGGACTCTCAGCATCTTAAGTTTCCTGAAAACACCCAAAATTAAACTCAGTTCAGGGGACGAGGGGACGGGCATCGGGGAACGTACCTAGAAGCAGAAACGGAGTCAGAGGCTGCCAGCTCAACCTGAACTCCTGAATGGGTCGTTTTAAACAGACAGAAAATAAAACAGAAGGCTGAGGTCAGTGGTGTGACCAGCATGACAACAGACCTGAGGTGGTAAAACTGTGGAACCTTCGGGTTGGAAGGCAGCTTGGAGAAAATTGGGTCTCTCTTCTCTTTGCAGATGAGCCCATTTCTACAAGCTCAACAGGAAGATGAGATGCTTTACGCAGACGTGTCAGTAGAAATGTTCAGTGGCTGCAAACGGGTGACATGGAATAAACATTTTTTGAGCAGAAAAAAAAAGCCAACAACTGGGCGAAGGCGAGCGCGAGGGCCGCGGTCTGGACTCAGTGTGAGGCCCTTTTCCCCGGCTGCCTGTCACCAGCGCAGAGCCTGCTGGCTTTTTGTACCCTCCTTTTGCATCTCCAACAGCGTCACTCACTTGTGTACGATGGATTCAGAAGTGAAGGATTTGCAACAGCATGCATTTCGTCAGTGACATGCAATCCTGGAAAACAGCATATTCAGTTAAACCACTTCATCTTTTTCTTCCGGAGGTAAAAGCCCTGACACCTCGATATTAGCTTCCTAGGGCTTTGTAACAAAGGACCACAAACTGGATGGCTGAGCACAACAGAAATTCATGGCCTCGTAGCTCTGGGGGCCAGAAGGGGAGATCCAAGGTGTTGGCGCATTGGTTCCTTCTGAGGCTGTGAGGAGGAACCTGTTCATTCCGCGTCCCCAGCTTCTGGCGTGGCCGGCAATCCCTGGTACCTTGTATTGCAAAAGCATCTCCATGGCTTTGTGTTCGTCTTCACGTGGCCTTCTCCCATGTGTGTCCATGTGCCCAACTATCCCCCTTTACAGGGCACCGGTCACATTGGACTAGAGGCCCATCCTAATGACCCCACTTCAACTTGATCACCTTGGTAAAGATCCTTTACCGAGTGAGGTCACATTCTGAGGTTATGGGGGGTCAAGATGCCAGCATTTCTTTTTGGAGAGACACAGTTCTCCCCACGACACTCCAATATTCACTTGACTGCCTTTCTAAGTCCCAGTCCCAGTCTGCTCTGACAGTGCTCACTTGCTCATCCTACTAACACAGTGCTTCCTTGTAACACAGGAGGTTTTTGTAACATAGGATGCTGCATAGACAATTTGTGATTTTTTTCTACATTGCAATGATCTGCTAATATAAACTGAGATTACATATGCATGTTAATACTATGTTGGTGCTGCTCAAAATAATTATTTATAAATGCTTAGTGTGCGCAGCTCACCCATCAATGAGGTCTGTCCTGTGGGAACGCACTGCAAAGTGGCCATTACTGGATTTATGTAGCATTTATTCTTCAGAGATCAAAATACTGTAATGTCCCTGTGCCTCAGTTTCCCGCAGAATCACAGCAGGGTTAATAACCCCCAGCCGTCTCCCAAGATCACAGAGATGTTGCGGTGACAGTAATACTTATCCCCCGAAGTGTCACTGGAGGAAAGGAATTTACGTGGAGTGTTTGTGTCCTTAGCTTCTCATCATTACCCTTGCTTGACCCGATTCAGCTGGGTCCTCCTCTGAATAAAGAATCCTCTGCACTGTGGAGAGCTTTCTGAAGACTGGTGGCTTTTCGTGGCGATATTACCCCGTACGTTGCTCTCAAGTGTTTGGACGTCCAGGCAGGTTGCACCTGTCTCCTGAGCCTTGTTTCTTCAGCGCCTGGGTGAAGGGGCAGGGAGATTTGAGTTCCTCTGCATTCTCCGGCCAGAAGTGGGGGATGAGGGAGATGAGAGAAGGGAGGGGGTGGTAGCTCTGAGAAACTGAGGTCAGACTTGGGTCCTTCCTTCTTCCATGTCCCTCCCATACGGTGGCCAGGTGTGTTTCATCCCAGATGCACCTGCCGCCCCCAGCCGCCTGCCGGCCCACCCACTCACGCTCCACCTTCTGGAGCCATTCTCCGCGGTGCAGGAAGGGCACGTGTGCAGTCCTCCCAGACACGAAATGCGGGTGGGGAGAGCAGCGGGCCAGCACAGCCGTGGAGGTGCGTGAGCTGTCCTGCGATTTGCGGGGACGTTCTGATTGGGACCACTGTTAAGAGCGTGACGTCGTGGAATCGCGGCCCTGGAAACCAGGTGATGCAGGCCTTGCCCATGAAGCCACACAGGGAACCGGGCCTTGCCCATGAAGCCACACAGCCCGGGGCTAAGGCGCCTGCTAGGGGCTTGAAGCGACGTCCTCCTCACTTCACTGCCCGGAACGTGCTGATGGACGCGTGGCCACGCAGAGGTGCAGGCGCACAACCTGCACCCGGGAGACCTACGCCCACCGGTGGTCACAGCACCGAGCAAGTCCCGAGGCTTATTGTAGGCCCGCCCCGCCCCTGCACAGCCCGCCCCCTCACTCTGCTG